GGTTCAGCGTCCACTCAGTGTGGATGCGCTATTTTGAAATAAAAAATCACTATTTAGAAATGCATTTTGTGTGTAGACACGTTATTTCGAAATAAGCTATTTCGATATAACACTGTATTGCAGACACCCTGAAATACTTAATGTAGAATAATCCTACTATGTTCTTTTTTGAGGAGTGTTCCTGTGGATGCTTCACTTTGGGTGTTTGAGCACCACTGCGCCCCAGGTCGGAGATTTATGATAGCAGTGCACTTGGTAGGCTGCACATGTGGAACAACTGGAACGCGTTGTCTGGATTGGCTACACCACATGTGCAGCCAACCAACCCTTCAGTTCTTCTCTGGTGCTGTTGGCTTCTTTCGGAACTGAGCAGTCATTGGCAGCACTGGGCATGTTTGGCACCAAGACAGCTAGAGGAACGAAAGACTCTGCACGAGTCAACTCTAAGGCAGGTTCTCAAGTGAGGCCCCATCAACACCAATAAAGTCATTCTCTGCCTCGAAAAAGCTGTGCTCTGCCTCGGCACTTTGCCGCACCTACACTGCATACCAAACAGTTGGTACTGCTGGTATAGGCAAGCTACCAGTGCTTCCTCCAGTACCCACATCAGCACCGACCTTCCCAGTACTGCAGTCATTTACTACCAGTGCAGACCACATAGTTACTTCAGTGCGCAGAATACTGCTGTTTGGCACCAGTGGCACACCAACTACTTGCTTTAGTCTGTCAGCCGCACCAGTGAGGTCAGCACCACCACTCTATAGTGAGGGGGAGGAAGAATCCCTTTTTAGGGATGTAAAATAGTCGTCAACTATCTGATAAGCCAAGGCTTACTGGATAATCTGTCAACAACTCACAGACACCCCCCCTCCCGCTATGTCAGAGGCAGCGTGGTGAGCAGGAGCAGGAGCCAGTGCTGGGGGGAGCCGGCTTAAATGCTGGTTCCCCCCAGCACCATCTCCACAATGTGAGGGAGGGATACACAGGGTAGGCAGAGGCACAGCAGGCAACCTTGGGCAAGCAGGGATTGAAACAGTCCCCATTCACGCTGGGTCCCAACTGCTGCATTTCAAAGGCAGAGATGCAGCAATCAGGACCTGGTGTCAGTGGGGACTAAAGCAGTCCCTGCTTGAGCTGGGTTCTCCGTTGCACTTCTGCCTTTGAAATGTAGCAAGAGCTGCAAGCAGCTC